ACACGTACATAAGCAAATACATGCACGCAGCAAGCAGCCAATCACAACCGCATTGACGTGCCAATATCCAAGACTGCTGCCAGGTGCAACGTGAAGCGACCGACTAGTGGCCAGTGAGATGCAAGTGGGTGCCGACATCCGGGCCTAACAGGGGTGAATTTTATTGCCACCAGTGCTGCCGCCGCTGCACATGCCTGGACCAGCCCCCAGTTCATTGTTGTCGTGGCCATGCTAGCGGCTGCTGCATCAGCAGCCAGCGAAACGTTGCCATCAGAATCATTGTGCTGCATCCCTCTCGTACATGTGCTTTCGTTCAAGCCAAGGCTGCGTAAGGATAGCACCCACCACCCAAAAGCCACAAGCCACAAGGAATCAGCCAGGCGAGTGATTATAATCAGCCAGGCATTTACATTCATACTTGTTGAAGTCCCCTTACACCACCACAGATTGCGCGTCACGTCACGCTATCGGCAAGCAGGTATGTATGGTCACACAGATATGCATGGTCACACAGATGTGTATGGTCACACAGATATGTATGGTCACACAGATATACACTTCCTGGCCACATGCCCGGGAAAAATAAAGAGCTAATGAGGCGGGCATGCGTTGGCTGTAGATGTGGTGTATATGTATTTGGCCCAATCGTCGGGGGTGCGTGTGTACGCACGTCCTGTACGATTTGTACGTGTACGGTGTACGGTGTACGGCAAATTCTTGGCACGCGCGAAGCTGCATGTCTGTGTGGGTGTGGCGCAGTGGTTAGCGCGTAGGTCTCATAGCTGTTATTGTGCTGTGACTTGGACTATCCTGAGGTCGAGGGTTCGACACCCTCCACCCACAACCGCTCGTGTAGCTCAGTGGAAGAGCACCCGTTTAGTAAGCGGGAGGTCTCGAGATCAAAACTCGACATGAGCAGCACATCGCTCTTGCGCGGGACATATCCCTTGCTTGTGCCTGTTGCTGGTCCCTGCCGTTGGACACGTACTCGTAATACACGAAATGCTGCAGTCAGCCGTGTGTAGCCTTTTCTAGGCGTTTAGGGTTTCAAGGACCCTAAAAACCCTAGAAACACTAGCTATCACCGCAAAAAGCAGCTATTCAACGACTAGCATCGGTTGAGTAGATCGGTGAGGTTTTGGTTGTTGGCTGTGACCATGGATGGCACTCGTGCATGCAGGATCTGCATTTTCTGAGAGACACAGCGCGACGAACACTACAAATATGTAGCACATGTAGCCGACAGGGGAACCGGTTGCCTCCACCTAAACCCAGAGCCTAACAGGACACGTACATAACCAAATACATGCACGCAGCAAGCAGCCAATCACAACNGCATTGACGTGCCAATATCCAAGACTGCTGCCAGGTGCAACGTGAAGCGACCGACTAGTGGCCAGTGAGATGCAAGTGGGTGCCGACATCCGGGCCTAACAGGGGTGAATTTTATTGCCACCAGTGCTGCCGCCGCTGCACATGCCTGGACCAGCCCCCAGTTCATTGTTGTCGTGGCCATGCTAGCGGCTGCTGCACCAGCAGCCAGCGAAACGTTGCCATCAGAAAATTGTGCTGCATCCCTCTCGTACATGTGCTTTCGTTCAAGCCAAGGCTGCGTAAGGATAGCACCCACCACCCAAAAGCCACAAGCCACAAGGAATCAGCCAGGCGAGTGATTATAATCAGCCAGGCATTTACATTCATACTTGTTGAAGTCCCCTTACACCACCACAGATTGCGCGTCACGTCGCGCTATCGGCAAGCAGGTATGTATGGTCACACAGATATGCATGGTCACACAGATGTGTATGGTCACACAGATATGTATGGTCACACAGATATACACTTCCTGGCCACATGCCCGGGAAAAATAAAGAGCTAATGAGGCGGGCATGCGTTGGCTGTAGATGTGGTGTATACGTATTTGGCCCAATCGTCGGGGGTGCGTGTGTACGCACGTCCTGTACGATTTGTACGTGTACGGTGTACGGTGTACGGCAAATTCTTGGCACGCGCGAAGCTGCATGTCTGTGTGGGTGTGGCGCAGTGGTTAGCGCGTAGGTCTCATAGCTGTTATCGTGCTGTGACTTGGACTATCCTAAGGTCGAGGGTTCGACACCCTCCACCTACAACCGCTCGTGTAGCTCAGTGGAAGAGCACCCGTTTAGTAAGCGGGAGGTCTCGAGATCAAAACTCGACATGAGCAGCACATCGCTCTTGCGCGGGACATATCCCTTGCTTGTGGGGATC